TTATTGTGCATGGATCGTGATCCAGCCTTGTTCTTTTGGAGTTCCCTTTCCACAGATGTCATCTCCGTCCTTTTTATCAACGTCCATCGCGTTAGGCTGCGAGGTGAGTCAGGGAGCCTGCACTCCCCTTGGTGTAGCTTGAGCTGAGGCCACGGCTGCAGTTGCAGTAATGGCGTCACGTGGTCGTTGTTAGGGTTAATACTGCTGTCGGCGTTGCACGAACAGAAAATTGGTGTAGCGGCCAAGAATTGGCTCACCTGAATAAACTGTAGCTGTCGGTAAGGATCCTTGACCTTCCCAGAACGTTGCTAATAATTTCAATTTCCAAAGGTTCGTAGTTTCGCTACTATCCTTGAAAGTTGGCGGAGCTCCCAAGCAGTGTGTCTGCTTGCTCCGACCCCCTAGCGGCGAATCCTACTGTATGGACTTTAAAAAGTTTTGCGCCGGTGCATTCGTGAGGCAATAAGCTTATTTAGTGAATCTATTCCATGGCTACTTGAACAAGTGTTGTAGAGCTTCTTTAAATGAACATATTATGCCCAGACCGATTTATTATTTTTTTTGTGAAAGTGAAAAGCTTATTATGAAGGCTCGTGTGCTAAAAGTAAAATAAATTTTAAAATGTTACATATCAGGTTATCACTCGCATTGTACCGATAGTCAGACCCTGTCACTACTCAAAGCTGTTTCGACTTGCTTCGAAAAAGAAAAAGACATTTGCCTGGAGGACTTGTTTCAATTAAAAAAAATATTGTGCAGGTTAGTTAGGTCATCATAAATAGGCCCTTTTTTATTTCATGTATACTAATCGATTCAAAATTATTCTATCAAAACCACTGTTTGCTTCGAATTCGTTTCGAACCTGTAATTTACTATTCGCACAAGCCAATGTATGAGACGTGAACTGGCTAATTGTGTCTTAATAGTGCAGCAATAGTTTAACATAAAAAAGAATGAAGGAAAATGTATGTTCTTTACTATTTTTAAGCTTATAGATTTGCAGTCAAGATAATGGCTATACTGTCTGGTCCGAACGGGAGAAAAACACTTATTGCACTTTTTTCACTTTACGTATTTATTTTTCTCCGAAATATTTAATACTGAAAATGGGAGGTCTAACTCATGCAATCAGTTCTTGGCCGATCCCCATGAGCTGGTATGAGCCATATTTAAGGGGTGTCATCATGATTATCATCTGCAGCCTGGCAGGGAGCACGGTGCAGCGCCTAAAGCAAATGCTGATCGTACATTGAACAAAGCGTGAGGCGGCGAGGCTTCAGGCCAATGTTAAAGCTCTCCATGTGTTTTCCGCCTGGTAGGTTGAATAGTGCCAACTCGTTCTCGCCTTCTTTCTTTACACCAACCCTCCAACCAGCGGAGGCCGAGGTGCTGCCGTGATGTTTTTACTGCTTTTCCTGTTCATGAACCCACCTCATATGGTATGCACCCCATAAATATCGTGAAGAAGGCTCATACCATCTGACACGCCCATCCCGCCTCATTCATGCTGGCCCACCGCTCGGCTGTCGACCCTGTCGAGCAGCCTGGTGCACAGCAGCGAGGTGGCATTCCTCGCGAGCTTAGTATGAAACTCAAGACAACACTTGTGGTATAAAGAAGAAAATATTTACTTTCTCTCTTGTGCAGAAACATGGCCGGATTTTATGGTATATAACATGCATACGCAGCAGGAACTGCTTGAAGAGCAGCGGGCGCCGCAGTTGAACGCCTTAAGCTCGACACATTTGGTTGGTTTGATTGTGAATATAGGTCAAGATTCTTTGGTCACAAATATAGGTCGATATAGCTGGTTATGAACAACATTTTCAGTAAGAAAAAGTCGACCTACATTCGAATAAAAACGGTATTATCGCAATTACTGATATATTTTCTTGTTTGAAGTGTTTACGACGTGAAGTAATCCACAACAACAGAGTCTTTTAAAAACTGACCTTTGTCAGGAACAGCTTTGTATCATGAGCTTGATGTAGTCAAAGTTTCCCAAAATTAACTAGACGCAACTCTGGAACTGCGAATTGAGCCACCAAGGGAATGATGGGTAGTACACGGCTTTGCCTAGCTTCCTTACTAGAAGCTTTGAATGGTTGCAGATTTGTTTATTGTTGTGCTTTGGTTTTGTTTTAGATAAAAGAGTGGATAATTGTGAACTTTGGGAGCCAATTTAAATTGGTGATTCTAAACGGTCTAGGTGATGAAGTGAAACTGCTGAAGATTTGCTGTTTTTTGTCTTGCAACGAAGTGGCTCCAGGCTATGTGAATTCAAATGGAGCCAAAATAACGTGAATTAGACATATTGAATAGGGCATCCTAGATATGGTTAGAAAGAAAGAACACACGACGGAAATGACTTTCACTTGCAACTGAGTTTATACAATGAAGCGTCATGCCATGGAAGATTATACAAAAGCGCATTGACAGCACACTTTGTCACAAACACAGACGAAAAAAAACAAATTGCTGGAAAATTCCTAAAAATCTAAGATTGCTTCAAGGGGGTACAATTCAATCAATTTGAAAGTTAGACAAACTTGAAGATTAGACCATCTTGAAGATTAGAAACATCTATGCAGTACCCATTCTTCCAATGCTTGCTGAAGCACCATGCATTACTGCTCCCATAATCACTAGTGCCAGAGTACTCTCTAGTGCGCGTATAGGAAACTCTAAGAAACAAACTACAAGAGATGAAGCATTCTTGAGCACACAGTCCTGGAAAGTGCTCTTGCCTTGTCTGCTTTGAAGATAAGACACCCTGTGAATAAGAATGTTTCACCTCTTCAAGCTTCCATCTTTCAACAGGATAGAAAGTTGGGCTGGTTGGTACAAATGCATTCTTAAATCAGCACTAGAAAACTTAGACTATGTACAAACACACGTCAAGTGTGAACTCGAAACAAGAAAAATTTTTTTTGAAAGGAACATCCAAGAAAACCTACAAGAACAAAGGAAGACAAGGAAAATGTGTGTAGAAGCATAAGGGGGAATCTTGCTAATAATGTATGCATTACTTCACAGAGCACTCGCTAAGTAGAAAAGCAAACCCTTTCTTCGTCAATGACAGCAATGCCCTGCTGACGCAGGCATCGGCCCTTGCTTTCGATATGAAAAGCTTTTATCGCCTCTTCAATTAACTTTCTTGCATCTGTGTGATGGAAAGACATTCTGACAAGGCATCTACAAACATAGGAGAACAACCATATGTGCAGCAGTACGATGCGAGATACAAAACCTCCAATTTATTTATAGAGCCATTGTACTCCTTCAAATGCACATTTAGACATCTATTGGTTTGCCCCACATATGTATTCTCACATTAAAAAAAATTTTTTTCGTTCTTGTTTGATATTTTCTTCAATTAATTTTTCAGTTGCGAGTCAGCGCTCATCCTGTGTGTGTGTTCCTTCTTAGTGTATGTCTTCTCGAACTGCATCAGGGATGCTTTAATCTATCTTTGAACCTCCACCTTATTTTAAAGGAGGGACATTGCTCTTAAAAAAAGTTTATTTCCTAATTTAGTTTGATGAAACTTGGGGAGCTTATGTGTATATGTGTGTTGATTTCATATGTGCAATCATTTTCTTAGTAATCTCTAGTTTTAAAATACTATATGCTTCATGTTCCTTTTGGGGAAGGGAGGATTGGTAAAAAATGCAGCATACCAAAGGAAGAGAGTGCAACTCCTGTGCAAGTGTCTTTTCTTTCTTTGGTGTGCTCTGTTTTGCACAATCCTTGCTTTCTGAAAGCGAATAACCCCTTAATGTGTGCTATTAGACTAGCTTTTTTGGGTAATATTTTTTTTCTAAATGAAGTTACAAAGTAAATCAGCTTATCACAATAATCTACAACTGTGTGCTGTGCAACAAAAATGGATGTTATAAATTCATTTGAACAAAAGTTATTCTATAAATTTTTGTGAGGGAGTCAATTTCAAGCTGGAATATCACTCTCAAATGTTCACCATGTCATAACTTTTCTTCTAATGGGTTTAAAACAACCTACTTTTTTTTTTCACTGCATGCAGCTTTGATTACAAATTGTGATGTGCCAATTTACTTAAAGGGGCCATGAAACACATTTTTGAGTAACCATGGAAATAATTCATTGGAAAAGTATATTGCCTCACAAATTCAATGCCGCAAAAATCTTAAGAATCTATCCAGTACCTGCTGAGTTACAAAGATTTGTCACACGCTGCAATCACATTCTCTCTTCTCTCAACCTGACGAAAGTGCTGGAAGCTAAGTAGGGAGGGATGGGAGGGGCAAACAAAAAATGTCACACGCGTCTTGTGACCTTCGCCACTTTTTTTTTTCTTCAAATGCGTGACTTTTTCAGTGCGATCGTGCACACATGCGAGGACAAGTGACAACCTCCCGCGGCGATCTCTGTAACGCCCGAGTTCGCCATGTTCAAATCAGCCAATGGCTCATAGATGGGCTTACTTCAAGTGATTTTTGGGCTTATTGCATGTTTTTTTGAGAGAAGAGAAAGCAATCTTTAGCTGACTTTGATAATTTATTGTGAATTTCTGGCCGTGTGCTGCGCTATAATATTTCGCTCGCGTGTTGTCGGGAGTCTCTGCTACTGATCGGCAGCATTTTCTGACTATGCTCAAAAAGTGTTGCAGGGTCCCTATAATAAATCTGTCTGCTCAAAAGAAAGCTTCTTCTAAAAAGGCACGTGAAATGTTTTGTATTTTAAAAGTTACAAATTATGCTAGAAAAATGATTGCATGTATGAAATTGGAATACGAATATTCAGAATCTTGCTAAGTTTCATGAAATTAAGAAGAAATCAAAGAAATTAAAAAAAAAATGCTTTAGTGCTATGTTCCTCTTAAAATGTCTTAAGGTTTAATAGCATATATGTATTTTTTCATCTCTGCATAAGAATTTTTCTAGGCCAGAAATAAGCTGGATAGAGTGCAGCTTCATTTTGAGTTATGCGAGTCTTTCATTGATGTCACCATGCTGTTACAGTGTCTTGCAGCCCACCACCAACTGGGGAGGCCTTGACACACTCACTGCAAGACTTGTTCCTAGTGACACCAGTGATGTGCACCCACTGTGAGTTTTGCACGGTCTTGCTCTGACATATAGTTCACTTTGGTGCTTAAGAAATGCACGCACCTGTAGCTGCATCCACTCTTGTGCAGGGTTTGTACAGGTCCTTGAAAACCCTTCTAAACCTTTGAATTTGAAAATTGCATTTTCAAGGCCCTTGAAAGTCCTGAAATTTTTTGCCATCCTTGAAAATCCTTGAATTTCCTTAGCAGTGCACTCTCATATCGACATCGCGACCTCCTAAATGTGGTGCATCGGTGTATGAACCTATTAAACTTGTTATTTCTGAAGCAGTAATGCGGCGTAGGGGCACATGGTCCTATTTAGCAAAAGTGCATGGGAAAAAAGTTTGTGGCGAGGATGAAGCAGTGAATGTGATAGCAAGAAATTAGAATGTCGCACGAAGAAGGGCAAGCAACCTTATATATGCAACACGCCGCTCAAACACGACGGACGCATGAAAAGAAAGCGCACAACATGAATGCTGATGAACGACTGTCATAGCTCGACACTGGAAGTGTGCTGCTTAAACAAAGCAAGAACAGTGCTAGAAAAGAACACACATGTATCTATAGGATGAGTGTAAATTAACCACTGCCAAAGTTGTTACTTCTTAATTGTTGAGCAACGTGCTGCGAGTATCAATTGTGCACTAGTCGACATTCTTTATGGGGTGGTGTCATCAAATTTCAAGGCTATAGCAAGCGCTGTGTGTGTTTAAGAATATATTTTAATTAACTTCCCAAGTGTACCTAAATGCTCATTTCACTTATCGGGGCCCATCGCCAGTGCGTCCAACACTGACGTAGCTCTATAGGAAGGGCGACGAAAGTTCTAGTGACATCAGACCAGATCTGTAGTCTGGTGAGTGACCTCCGAACTTCCACCCTATACATACCGGCAAAGCATCGCAGCTGCTGCAGGTAGTGGAGAGTTTGTTTTGCAAGTGCTTGTGTGGCACATGTGTGCAAGAGCTGACAATAATCAGCATGACGCGTGCAAAGCTTTGTGATCACGTGACTAGGTCAGCTACACTGCTACATATCTGCCCAACTCGGTCCCCACAAACACCAACTGAAAAATTGTCTATATCAAAAAGGCAAGAAATTATATAGCGAGAATAAATGATCCTTTGTGCGTGTATCGTGCTTATTATTGGAGCTATAATTGAAGCCTGTAGCAAAGAGCGTGCAAGCCACAAATATTGTGGCACGACCCCTTTAAGGCCTAACTACACATGGCCTGACTACACATGGCCCGACTACACATGAAGCCTTGAGCGCATAACTTTCTGACATGGCATCGTGCCCTCTTTAATTAAAAGGGGTGCGAGAAGTAATTGAGACTAATCTTTTTTTTATAATTGCAATATTCGTATACTTATTGTAAGTGCAATAAAAATGGTCATTTTTGAAAATTTTAGAGTGAGAAATTCCAACTTAGCATGCCGCTTCAAGTCCTTCAAAAACTTGCAACAGGTCCTGGAAAGTCCTTGAATATCCTTGAATTCTCGCTTTAAAAACCTGTACAAACCCTGTTAAGGCACAGGATTAATGAAACAAATCAATTGCGCAATCAGCAGAGCAGGTTCACATAGGATAAATGCACACCACCAAGACCACACCTGATGAGATTAGAAAAAAAAAAAGAAGATGCCACCTATGAATAAGTTTGTGTGAAATCCATACAATATTTCAAGGTACTCAATAGTCTACAGTTTAAACCTCCAATAACTTTCATGGGAATTTCGTTGGCGCGAGAATGCGCCAGAAAAAACAGAGAGCTGACTAAGAGCTTATTTTATGTCCAGAAGTAAGTAAGTTTACTTTACTGAGCTTTTACATGTAACTATATTCATAGCTTCTGAATCCCATTGTAAAAAGTGGTTCATTGCCTGGAATGCTGTAGTCATCGCAGTTTCGTTTCTTGCATGCGAGTGCACTATCTGAAGTTTAAGATCGGTAGAGATGCCCTATTACCCGTGACTGTCAAAATTGTGTGAGGCGCATCAACATTTTTGGCCAGCAAGACATCAGCAATAGGCATCAACATGAATCAGCGTCGGGAATAAGAGGGACAGACCTCAGGTTCACGTATGTAATAGCTTGAGGTGCTACGCGCACCGGTTCTAAAATTGATAAGGGCAGAATGGGCGGATAAAAAGTTCATACCAAGGATTAGTTCGGGGAGCACTTCTTGAGCACAGCGAATAGTAAAGCCGTGAAGCTGTTGGCAACGCTTATATGCGCGGAGCACATTCTAAGCACGAGAAACATGCTGCCGTTGGCGACCTAAATTAGTGGTACTGTGGGTGGCATTAAAACGGCAACAAAGTTCCAAATTGATCAATGATATGTGAGCCTCTGTGTCCAAAAATGCAACAATGAGTGTGTCATCTACTTCAACGTCAATAAGGTTGCATCTAGTCGGCGGCATTGTCAGAGGATTTGGCAGGCAAGTGGTCGATGCAGCATGACCTACAGGTGTCACAATGCAGAAACAGCAGCAGTTGAATACCGGAAATGCACTTTAATTGTACCAGAACACTGGCAAACTGATCGGAAGAGAACCTCGTCTTTTTTCTCTTGCTGCGCGTGTTCTTCGTTGTTCTTTTGGTGCTGCATATTCAATGTGGCATTTGCCCCCCTCCAGAGAGCAGTGTCCCGATGCTCTTCTACGAAAGACGGTGTAGTAGATGTATGGTGTAAATCAGTCCAAAAAATAGGGCTTCATTCGCACAACGTGCACGATTTCTGGTTTTTGCTGGCGAGTTGTCGAGGGGCTGTCAGGAACGACCACGTAATTAACGTCGCTCAGGCGTTGTAAAACTGTGTAGGGGCCAAAATACTTCTTCAGCAATTTTTCAGACAGTCCCCGGCGGCGGATAGGAGTCTATACCTAGCACCTCCGCCAGTGTCACAATGCAGAAACAGCAGCAGTTGAATACAGGAAACTCACTTTAATTGTACCAGAACACTGGCAAACTGATCGGAAGAGAACCTCGTCTTTTTTCTCTCGCTGCGCGTGCTCTTCATTGCTCTCTTGGTGCTGCATATTCAATATGGCACAGGAGCTGCATCATCTAGTTTTTCAAAGGCAGGTGTTCAGTCTTAGACATTGGAGGGTAGAATTGGGGCAAGCAAGACAATGGGCGATGGGAGAGCGAGTGACGAACGGGACTAGTGAGCATGATAAGATGTATTCTAGTTGAACTCGCTGTTGGGCTATTTGTACATAGCAACTTAATGCTAAAATCACAACCATACAGAAGAAGAAAACACATAGACAGGATGGGCACTCACAGTTTTTTATTCCTTCAGGAAACGGGCTATCACAAACCCACTTCTCGTCAACAAATGCCCAACATGATCGAGCCGTCACTTACCTGATCACGCTATCGGACACATGCTCTCTAGATAACGTGCTTCCGACTCGTACAGGTTAAGTGACGTTTCGCTAACATAATTAATACTCTGTTTTTTTAATGTGAAAGTCTTCCAAAATTTTTCGTCCTACCTTGCTTTTACTTTTTTCCAGAATCCTAATCTGCTTTAAGCATGGTGTGCACCAACATGAAATGACATGCACGCTTGAATGCGCACCGTCCTTATCCTTTACCATGAGAGCGTGTTCTCTCGCCAATAATAATGCAGACCTTGCAAGTCAGAAGGCTGAATATATCTTCTGCTATGCCTTTTAATATGCGTGCCACTTTTTCGGTTTCAGGGGTGCAACAGCTGTGCCAATTGGATACAATTCCCCATTTTTGCGCCGAGCTGCACCAAAACTATGCAATTTGCTGAAATTGCACCACGGTGCACTGAAATGTCCGACCAGTCTCAAAGCTTTCTCAGTTGCGCTAATTTCAGCAAGAAACGGCAGCCACTTTGTTTATCTGCAATTTGCATCATCAATCAATCCAGGCGCGCAGACCCTAACCCTAAACCACGGTGTAAAATATATTCTCATTAGGTCAGGTCACTCATGACACGCGATCAACCAGACAAAGTAACAAAGCTGTGCGCCATCGGTCCACTGACCGCTATGGATACCTATCAGCGGGACGACGCAACGTGAAGAGAAAAAAGTGGTGCTGCTTCACGGGAAGTGTGAACTTCCTAGTCAGCAAATGTGACTATGGCATGTTAGCAACTCTAGCTGGAAGCGTATGCCATGTTTTCCGCACGCGAACATACTTGACATGCTGCAAAAATCGGCGTTGCTGGCAACCACGTTGGTAGCCATAGCAACGGTGCATAAAACATTTTTCTGTCTTGAAGTTGCATCGTCCCAGCGATAGATATGCGGTGCCACGCCTGGCCATCAAGTGCGCGACATTGTTACTTCACCTAGTCGAACGTGCCTTGCAAGCGAACCAAGAAGTGGTGCCCTAAATTTAATCCCATCACGGAACAAGGGGGGAGGGGGCATAGCGGTGTTTCAAATTCACCTTCACCTCAGTTCAAGTGTGCCATGCAAACAAGTGCGGTATGATTTTGAAGGGGCTGTTGGCACTAATCACAGGATACAGCACATTTTGTTCAATTACTCATGCGTGTATACGGTGCATAATTGTGAGTACTAGTAGAATCGATGACGTCTGAAAAGGTTGCTGTCAATAATTTAGAGCAGTGTATGACATTTTTGGTGCCCTAAAAAAACGTGCGCCTGTTTTTCTGTTTGTTTTCTCCACCCCTACGAATCCCCTAAATTTTAAAGTGGCCCACCTGGCAGACCCACATCTGAATTAGCAGAGTCGGATGAGGCAAATGCTAATGTGGACGTTATCATTGAAATAACAGTGCTCTTACTCACACTGCACGATTTGGGGCATGTTGAATGGTTTGTACATATATATATTTTTTCTAAGTATAAGACTTCTTTTCATACTGCTCTAAGTTTGGTCTTTCGTGAAAGTTTTGTTCTGTAACCTACTCCTAATTCGGAATGTTGGGTTCGGATAGTAATATTTTGCTGCTCCGAAAATGCTGCTACAAATTCTA